TACCCCAAAAAAAAAAAAATGCCATTTTACGTACTTCTGAATAAGTGGTTCTCCAAGCTTCCTCTCGGCATGAACTCGTACACTAGTAGCCTCTGATCATCTTCAATACAGTAGCCAATTAATTTAACCAAATTTGGATGGATAAGGTCACCCAAAAAATTCACTTCAGCCTGCAAAACATAAAAGAAGTTCATAATTATCAGGCATGAGGTGAAAACACTAAACATAATAACCACTTAGTAATTTTTATTAACCTCACATCCAAATAAATACAAACTGTTATGAAAAAAACGCAAGAAAAAAAAAAGGAAAAAGAAAAGAATCAAACCATCCATTCTTTGTGGCCCTGAAGCCCGTCGTGATTAAGTGTTTTTACGGCCACCGTAAGTCCCGTTCCTGGTTTAACGGGAGCTGTCCCGTTTTCTTCAATCCACCCTTTGAAAACGCAACCGAAACCCCCTTCCCCAAGAAGTGATTCGGGTCTGAAATTCCTTGTTGCAAGCTTAAGATCATTAAATGCAAATTTTCTCAGTCTAGAAGAGACTTTAAGTTCTTCTTCTAGTTTAGTGCTCGAAGATATGCTTTCGGGGTTGCTTGTGGAAGTTGTGGATGAGATTACATTCGAGGCCGGTTGATCTCGGTTTGTATTGTTTGTGGATTTAATTTCTNAAAAAAAAACAAAAAAAAAACTGAACATTAGAGGATTCCATGGATTCTACAAAATAAATAGAGATATATTAGGCCTCGACTCCAACAAATTCAATCTCCCCAAAGTCACACAACACTTACACCTTCATGAAAAGAAGGAAAAAAAAAGGCGAAAAGTAAATGTGAATTCTACAATTGAGCTACGAACTGAAAGAACACTGATAACGGTAAAAGAAAATGCGAATTCTGCAACTGAGCTACAGAACACTGATAAGAGTCTTTAATTTGACAACTTCTTGCTTGATTACTTTTCTATTGCTTGTTCTTTTTAAATTGAGCCCAATATTCCGAGTTAACGGCTTATCTATTCATATTTCATACTACACTTGAGTACATAACAATGACAGCATTAATATTCCCAAAGAACCTCTTTTCAGTGTAATGTAAGTTTGTTCACCAACTTGAACTAGAAACTCTACAAAATTTTTCAAACCCTCCAACTAAATTGCTGATGATGAAATCCCCAGCCATCACCTCGAATAAAATTCCTGAATTTCTAAATATATTATCCCCACAACAAGCTATCAAAAGTCATCCTTAACCATTATTATCCCCAAAAAACCTTCACAAATCCAACGAAAAATCATGGTTTTCCATGATCAACTAAATTTCAATTACAGAATTTGAACAAACTACTTTGGACTGCATATCAAAACAAGGCTAGAAACTTCTTATGATGTTTAAAACAGGGGGAAAATGGAAAAGTAAGATCGATAATCGATTACCATGAGTACTGATGCCACTAACAGAGTTATCAACTTTAGATCTTGAAGATATACAGCTGCCAATAAACCTCAATTTTAACCAACAACCAGTGGCCAAAGTTTCATCATCAGCATCAACATCAATTTTATCTTTTTTCTTTCTCCCTTTTGATTTCTTCACATCCCAAGTCTCAGCCTTTATGCCATCATCAACCAATCCCATCTTCTACAGACACAAAAATATCATCCAAAATTTTCCCCCAAATAAAAAAACAAGAAAAAACACCCAATTTTTTTTCAGAACAATCCTCACTTGCAGCTCAATAGCATGAAAGCCCACCAATAATCACAAAGAATTACCGGAGCCCATTTCAGAAAACAAGTCAAATATATCAAATATGAGCTTTTTCCCCTTTTCAAAACTACCACAATACTCTCTCTTCCCTTCAAGAATCGATTTTTATTTCAATATGATATCACAAAAACACTTTGTGAAATTCCCAAAACATCAAACTCGACCAATAATCACCTAAATATGACAGATTAATTGTTCTATTCCACTCATGTGAAGAAGTAAAAAAAGAAAAAAAAAACAAAAACCCAGAATAAAATCGGGGAGATAGCTCAGACCCAGTGAAAAAAGATCTGCTCAATAATAGTGTGAGAGGACAAAACAAAACTCAGTGATTGCAGATCACATGCTTGACCTTCAAAGCAGAAATTTTTTTCGTTTCCCCTTAACACTGTTCAACAAACAAAGCTGGAATCACACGATAGTGCCCATTATAAAAAAGCAAAAAATGAGGGAAAAAAATTAGGAATAATCATCTAAATTCAATAAAGTAAGCACAAGTTATTATAATAATAATATGTGTCACCACCACCCGGAGAGGTGTCTCTTGGAAAAAGATATCGAAATCTCAGTAGGCAGGACACCCATTTTTGCTGACCAGTTCAATGCTCAAGAAAAAGAAAAATAAAAAATAAAAATTAAAAAAGGCACTAGTAATCCGCAATATAAATATCAACAAAGTAATTGCCAATAAATGGGTATATTTTAAGTTTGTTTGCTGTGTGATGCGTTTGGGTGCAATTTATGGCTTCAACCAGGTAAAGAAAAAGAGGAAAAGTATTTTCTTGAAAAATATGAATTAATTATCAGTTCTTACTTTTTGCTAGCAGAAAACAAACTAACAAAGAAAAATAGGAGTCTGCTCAAATTAAATTGAACCAAAAAAAAAATCAAATTAAAAAAGTAGAATCCAACCAGGGTATACTAAAATTTGTTATTTATCTCCGCCGAAATCAATGAGGCCTACTAACAATTGTAAATTTGAAAATATAAATGCATATTAAAACTCTTTTTTCAATTTACACTACAACTAGTGTGTGGCCCGTGCAATGCACGAAAAAATAATATTACGATTGTATTATAAATTAAATATATAAATAACATTAATCATGATATATGTATTATTTTTACATTAAATCGGGTTGGACACAGTCCGACCGGATGGACGGAGAACCGATTTATAACCAGTCTAGTTCGCTTGAATAAGATATTTTCTTTTGAATCCGTCAACACCAATCGGTTGGATTTGTAGAATCGACACAATTTTTTAAATAAATTTTATTATATTTAAAATTATTTTAAATAAAATTACATATTTAAATAAAATAGAGATTTATAAATTATTTATCAATTAGTTTAAACATTTGAATTTATAAATTTTTTAAATATCTAAGTAACACATTTTGTTTAAATTTATTACAAAAAATACTATATATATATATATATGTATACATTAAAATGTTTATAAATTAAAATATGAACAAACCACAAATGATTTAATAAAATAACTTGATTGTTTCGATGACGATCTAGTTCTGAGAACCTTATATTTAGTGTACATTAATAAATATTATTATAAAATATTTTTTTGTTCACATAAATATTAATAAAATAATATATAAATATTCATAAATCATTAAATATGTTGTCATAAAAGTATTGTTAATACGATTATTTAAAATTTGGACTACATCACATTCACGTAATAAAATATTTTTAATATAAAATTTATATTTAGGTTCAATAATCGATTCGGTGTGATCGATCTGATTCATAACTTAGTCACCTGAGACCAACCAAGTTGTGTCAAGTTTTTTAACTATTTTAAATATCACCTAAAAGTAATTCAATCAACCTGGGCAGTACCCTAATTCCATCACCTGATTGATCCGAAGAAACTTTCTTATTTTCTTTAAATATATTTAATTTTATGAAATAAAAATATTTTATGATTCATATAATAAATGTCTATACCAAATGTTAGTATATTAAGATTATAAATTATATATCTTAAGATGAATTAATTATTTTTACTTTATGCATATTAATAAAAAATAAACATAGTAATTTTCAAAAAATTAAGATTAATTGATTGATTATGCAATTTAAAGAATATTTTTAGCGTTCCATTTTTTTTAAAGGCACAAATATAAAGACCGAGATCCTAAAACTTTTGTTATATTTTGAATTGAGATTTTATAAATATAGAGACCGATATTTTAATTTTGTTCGTTGTTTCTAAGAAAAAAATAATAATAAAAACATACACACTTAATAAATTTTAGCTGGATTTTTTAAATAATAAAATGAACTATAGCCCGAATTTAAGGTAGCATTTGATGCTGTATGAATTTTAAAGAAAAAATAAAAAAAATAATAAAACTTACTATTTATAGACTACATTAAATTCTTACCTATTTTTTTGCTACTATTTTTAGTAAATGTTAATTTTTATTATATATATATATAGATGCTAAGATAAATTTTATCAATTTATATTAATTTCTTAATAGTTAAATTTCTAATTAATATTTAACTTCAAACTATAACAAAAAGTAAAGTTGTTTGTCTTTTCCCATCCAATTGGGTAATTGACATCTATATATATATAATAAGAATTAACATTTACCATAAATAGTAGTAAGGAAAAGTCAACCACATTTATTATATACTATTTTCAACAACTTTTACATTTTACATTTTAATTTTAATTCATTATAAAAAAATTGGATGGTTCCTAAATTAATGAGTTTTAAATACACGTATCATGTTTCAAAAATTATAAATCATTTAAAATCGAAGGGTTCATAAATTAATGGTTACAAACTTTTCAAAGTTGTAATCTTTATGGCATCTTTTCTTTTTGACTTTTAATAATAAAATTATTTTAAATATATATATTATAATCCAAAAATTCAATCATATTAAATATATATATATATATATTAAACGCTAAAAATATTTTTTAAATTGCATACCCAATCAATTAATCTTAATTTTTTTAAAATTACTATGTTTATTTTTTATTAACATGCATAAAATAAATCTTTGGATATATAATTTATAATCTTAATATATTATCATTTGGTGTAAACATATGAATCATAAAATATTTTTATTTCATAAAATTAAATATTATATTTAAAGAAAATAAGGAAATTACTTTGGATCAATCGGGTGATCGAATTAGGGTACTGCCCACTTTGATTGAATTACTTTTAGCTGATATTTAAAATAGTAAAAAAACTTGACATAACTTGGTTGGTCCGAGGTAATTAAGTTATGTATCAGTTTGACCATACCAAATTGAATATTGAACCTAAATATAAATTTTAATATTGAAAATACTTTATTACGTGAATGTGATGTAGTCCAAACTTCAAATAATCATATTAACAATACTTTTATGACAATATGATTAATGATTTATGAATATTTATATGTCATTTTATTATTATTTATGTGAACAAAATATTTATTTCATTATCATTTTTATTAATGTACGGTAAATATAATGTTTTCAGAATCGGACCGTCTTGTGGTTGTTCAGATTTTAATACATAATACTTTAATATATATATATATATATATAATACTTTTTGTAATAAATTTAAATAAAAAGTGTTACTTAAATATCTAAACAATTTATAAATTCAACTGTTTAAACTAATTGATAAACAATTTATAAATCTCTGTTTTATTTAAATATGTAATTTTATTTAAAATAATTTTTCATGTAACAAAATTTGTTTAGAAAATTCTATCGATCTTACCAGTCCAACATACTGGTGTTGGCGGATTCGATAGTAAATATTTTATTCAAGCGCACTAAATCGGTTATAAATCGGTTCTCGGTCCATCCGGTCGGACTGTGTCCAACTCGGTTTAATTTATAAATAATGGGTAAATCATGATTAATGTTATTTATTTATATAATTTATAATACAATCAAAATATTATTTTCCCGTACATCGCACGAATTTGATAAGAATATATTGAAGAAAAAAATACAAATAGAATTTCCACATTATTGTCTGTTTTTCAAAAAATTACCTAGATTAGTAAGTTAAACTAAAAATTAAAAATTCAAAGTTAAAATATTTTTCCAACAACCTTTTTATATTAGTATAAATTATGATTTATGGGAGACAGGTAGAGGACAATACAACCACCGGGTCGGTCGTTTCGCACGAATTGTCATCTCCTTTCTTCGTCTGAGTCATGAAAATTGTAGTGATTGGGGTCAGCTTTGTTTAAAAATATTAAAATTAAGAAGAATTTTGATATTTTATTTCTCTTTTACTATAGAAGGAAAAAAAATGGCGCCACATCCGAACCGATTGAGTTATCACACATATTTGATACATTGCAATGCAACCAGAGATGATAATATAATCACCGAGCTATAGTCATAGTTCCCAAACAATAGATAATAATGGGATAAAGAGAGTTATCCTATCTCATGTAAGAAAATAAAGAGAGTTATCCTATCTCGGGCTTGACTCGTTCATCAATATTAACGAGCCAAAATCAATCCAAACTACATAAAAATCATCTTTTCAAGACTTATCGAGCCGAGTCGAGCTCGGTTCTTTAACTGAACGAGTTTTAAACGAGTTCGAGTTCGACTCGTTTATCAAATAAATTGAGCCGAACTTGAGTCTTAACGAGCTGAACTAATGAGCGACTCGTTTAATTTAACAGCTCTACATTGAACTCTACTTCAAACACAACCAATAATCATGAGCTTTAAATCAAAAGGTCTTTCCAGGTTGTAATGTAGGCTATTTGGTCAAGGGTAAGGTATATATGGGTTAAGTGGCTCAAATAAACAATCATACCATTCGAGTAAATAGACTACTCGACATACTACACTCTTCCTCTCTAATCAACATGAAGTTTCTCAATCCCAAACCAAAACAATCCATACACAAGTCATAAATGCTCAAATCAAATTACAAAGGAAGTACTTGACCATGTTTTTTTTTTTTTTTTTTTTTCTTCAGTTTTGTTTCTATTGGTGATGGAGATAAGAGTAGATGACCAAAATATTTTAAATTGATAGAGAGATAAGACGGAATAATTATATTGTCTCATATAATTATTTAATCATTATGTGTTAGGGAGACCGTTGAGAATATATTATTAATTAACCCCATAAATTAATGCATGCATTTTCATAATAATTTTGATTACGACTTGTCCAGCTGATGTCGTATGGTTACGACTTAAGGGTAAATATATATGGTTTATTATTTTGGTAGTCCACTTGTACAGTCCCACACCATAATAAGCTATAATTAAGGGGAAATGTGACTATGTTTCTTCTAATTCCCATTTTAAAACATTTTTAATATTCCTTTGAAAACAAGCTAATAAAACTCTACAGGGATTTGGATTTGGAGAGGTTTATTTTTTTTGGAGAGGTTTATTTTTCAGTTCGTCGGTTAAAATATTCTGTTACTACTTTCATATTTCACGTTATATTTTATATTTCATTTTCGGTGTTAGGTGAAATAGAAAATCTTGTTACCTTTATACATGATTTAAAAATGACATAAAAGCGTGGCGCAAACAAGCCTTTGTTTTAAAAGTTACATTTAATTAATATTAACATTTATTATAGATTAAAAAAAAATCCTCTTTGGACATTTTTTAAGCTTACTAGTTAACTTTTGTGGGATTTGATA